TCCCCTTTTTTTTTTTTTTTTTTTTAATTAATTATTTGTTTATTTTGGCTGTGTTGGGTCTTCGTTGCTGTGCGTGGGCTTTCTCCAGTTGAGGTGAGCTGGGGGCTACTCTTCATTGTGGTGCACAGACTTCTCACTGTCGTGGCTTCTCTTGTTGCAGAGCACGGGCTCTAGGCGTGCAGGCCTCAGCAGTTGTGGCACGTGGGCTCAGTAGCTGTGGCTCGCGGGCTCTAGATCGCAGGCTCAGTAGTTGTGGCACACAGGCTCAGCTGCTCCGCAGCATGTAGGATCTTCCCGGGCCAGGGCTCGAACCCTTCCCCTGCATTGGCAGGCAGACTATCAACCACTGCACCACCAGGGAAGCCCTCCTGCTCCCTTTCTAACTCAGGCAGCCCACGGGAGGCAGAGATGGTCAGGCATAACTTTTGAACCCTTGTGTCTCACTGGGGAAGGGAAATCCCGAGTGCCAGCACGCTGTTCTGCCCGCTGAGGGCTGACACCTCATTTCCAAAGGATGCCAAGGAGTCAGGTCAGTTTCCACGCTTGAAGCATAAAGCACATGACTTGGAATCAGTTCCCAGGAAAGGATAGTTCTTTGTGCCTGAGAGCAAAGCTGGTGGGGGACATGTGGCAGAAAGAGGTCAGTTGTTAACATTCCCCTTCTCTCGCCAATCCCGATCAAGAACACAGTAAGGCAGTTTTCTAGTCACACAATCTGCACGTGAGAGTAGATAAATATACCTCATGTCTTCCTCCTCCTGCCAGTGCAGCAATGAGAAGTGGGGCTGCGGGGCTGGTTAGGAGGCTTCCATGTCAGGGTAGAGACAGTGGTTGGCCTGGTATCACCCAAAGGGCTTAAGTACACTTGGGACAGGACCCCCTGCCTGTTAATAAAGAAGTGATGGGGGCAGAGGACCTGTGATCTATCTGAGATCCATCTCCTTTTTATTTCTTCAGCTGATGTGAGGGTGGACTGGCTCTAAGGACGAGCTGTTTGCTTGCAAAAATGCAGGCGCTGGTGACAAAGGAAACACAGTTAAAGAGACGGATAGCTCTAAACGAGCCTCGCCACTCTTGCACAGAACAGCCACCCTGGCTGTGTCCTTTTGAGGCTGATTAAGAGGCATTGTTGTTACAAGAAAAGCACATACTGTTCTCTATATGCTTGAGAACAACTTGCCTCTTCCTTCAGCTCAGATGCTCTTCAGGCCCCTGCTAGGTTTAAACACAGGTACTGAGCTGGGTCCAATCGCAGTCTGCCTACCATCCCAACCCCTGATCTCCTAATGAGCCCTGTCCCACCCCCTTCCCACCCCCAAAAATCCCCACCAAAATTTCAGATCTGCAGCACTTGCTAAAACCAAAATCAGCCTGCTGCCTTCCCTGCGGGGCTGGGGTGAGGGACAGTAGAAAAATAGAAACTGTGGCCAGGGTTCTCTCTTGGGTAGAGCTGGGTTCTGGCCTGGCCCTCCACCCTGGGAAGGGACCTTGGGGAACTGTGTTTTCTCCAGACTCTTTAGTGTTCTGGAAGTGACTGAGGCAAGGTCCCTCTGGACTTCTCTCCTAAGCTTCTTACTAACGGGCTCTGAGGCCAAAGCCCTGCTCCAGGGGTTGGAGAGTTGAGTGGAGGAATTCACTTGCTGGTAAGGAAGGCACTGCTGTTCACCTGAGTCTATGGGCAGAGTATGCCTGCTTTGATCTGGGCAAAACTGGCTTAGGGGAGAACACAGCAGGAACACCTGCACCAGGCCCTGCCCTCTGGAGTACCCCCCAGGTGCTCTGGGGGCTTGTGCCAATGCCAGGAGGTCCTTGTGGCTGAAGCCCTTTTCGGGCTGTGGCCTAGATCTGCCAAGGTCAGGAGGACAAGGTCCTGCCCTGGTCCCAGTGCGGACAGCTCCGAGAGACCAGGGCTCCCTCCTCAGGATTCCCCTCTCGGAGCTCTCCGAGGGGAAAGACAAAGGAAGCTGCAGTGCCAAGTTGCAGATTTTGCCTCAGGCAACTAAATTTATTAGCAAGAAGAAATTTTTGTCAGCCCAGCACTGACCAACAAAGTACATCGTTAATAAAGGATAACAAATCTGTCACTTAATTCAAAAACATACCTCAAGCAGTTACAACTAAAAATAAAGTTGGATTTTTGTTTAATTTAAAAGCCTCAAAAATAACAAGCAATATGTTTTTAAACATGTAGTAGACACAATTGTCTATTATACAATATACACTGTACACGAGTAGGGCTTGGGCTGGTTGGGGTGGGTGAGATGAGGGGGAGGGATGAGGTTCAGGATGGGAAGGTGTTTTACCTGAATCCAGATTCGAGTTGAAATGCTGTGTCGTTTAGAAAAGAGAATTACTAGAGTGAGAAAAAAATTTATATGCTCATCATTGCCCCCCAAAAACCCTAAACTAAAAGCAGGCATGGGGGAGGTGAGTACAAGAACAGGAAGAAGGGAGCAATTAAATAAAACGTCTTTAAAGCACACACAATACACAGTGTTCATCATCGGAAGTAGAGTATAAGGCAACGTTCCCCATAGAAAAACAGGGGCATCAGGGAGTCCGTGGGTAGCTTTACTTTTTAAATAGAAAGTTGGAATGTGCTGGAGAGCTGGGGTGGGGCAGGGGAATGTGGAGTGGAGGCGGCCTCTGGATCCTCTCCGGAGGTGGAGCCGGATGCCAGTGGTGCCCTGCGTGCAGGGCCCCGGGGCACCTGCAGTGGCTGAGGGGGCCAGGGAGGTGCAGGAGAGGGAGGGGCATGGCACGATGCGACTCCGGCAGTGTTTGGGGGAGGGGGGGCTCACTTTGCTCCTCGATGGAGTGAAATTCACGTTTTTCCTTTGGAAATAAGGGTTCCCACTCGTCCTGGTTTAGAACGTCTCATTGGGCACGGCCACTGTCCACGGTCTGGGCAGGCCGGGAGCTTGTGGTGAGAGGGGAGGGCCAGGGCGGAGCCAAGGGGCTTCAGAAGGAGGTGAGTATGGGGGCGGGAGAGTCCCTTCCTGTGGGGACAGTCGCAGAACAGGAGGGACGGGCGAGGGCGGGCCCAGGGCAGCCGTGGGCCTTCTTTCCTCCAGGGGCCCAGGCAGGACACAGGCAGGGGTCTGCAATCTGCGAGGCCTCCCGCCTCAGTTGGCCTTACAAGTTCTTCGTGACCAGGTGGGTCTTGTAATGCTTGGTGAGGTGGTCACTCCTCATGAAGCGCTTCTGACACTGGGCACACTCGAAGCGTTTGTCCCCTGGGAAGAGGAGATGCCCGTCACTCACAGTGCCATGCCCCGGAAAAGGAGGCACATACGTGAGGTGTGAGGGGCACCTGTGAAGCCGTGTCACCGGCCTACCTGCTGCTCACACAGTGCTCCCCGTGATCCACTGATGGGAACCTTTGTCAGTCCTCATCCCCTCCCCGCCATCACCCTCCAGTCTACTTTGTTTCCATTCCTTGTGCTGTGCCAAACACTATACTTGTGCACCTGCACCCAGGACGCTTCCCATGTAGCCTGTCACCTACTTTCTTCTGATCTTTGTCCCTCTGACTAACCCCGGCTCAAAGTCCTCCCCCTCACAGGGAAACCCCACTCCCCTCTGACCTGCCAGACTGAGCCACACACCCGGGCTGGGTCTGCAGCCTGCAGAGGGTGGGCGTTACCTGTCCTGCCACGCTGGCCAGGAGCCAGAGCTTTGGGCCTCGTGTCCCCAGGCCCAGGACAGGGATCTGCTCACTGGGGGCATCTGCCAGAACGGCAGTTCTCAAAGCATGTGCTGTGGACCACTGGAGACACCCAGGACAATCTTGGGTGGCAGATGCATGAACGATTTTCTACTTTATAGTTTTATATTTGTTTGCCAGTACATTAAAACACTTAGCTATCATCCCAAGCCTGTGATGTGAAAAATAAATCTGCACTGGACGTAAAAGAGTAAAAATAGTGAAAAAAATAGTAAGTAAAAATAGTGAAGTGATTTAAGGAAAATCATTCGGTGAGTAACAGTAGGAAAGGCAATGTGGGATAGTGACTAAGAGCATGAACTCGGGAGCCAGAGGGCCTGGGTTGAACCGGCTCCACTAGTCACTGGCTGTGTGGCCCGGCCCCCTCTCCATGCCTCAGTAAAGTGGGCACAATCAAAGTACCGCCCCCATAGAGTCATCATGAGGATTAGACTGGTTAATGGGTAGAATGTGTAGTATAGTGCCTGGCACAAGACGCCACCGACCGTTAAACAAATGTGCAGCTTACGGCGGAAGTCATCAAGGCTGTGCAACGCAACTGACCTCACTTTGGGAAACACTGCAATAAAGGAATGGCTTGTGAGACTTTCTGGGTAGTCCTGCACCCCGAGGAGACAGTCTGTAGCCCTCGCTCAGTGCTGCAGTTCCTTGGCCAGGCCAGGAGTCTCCACGTCGTTGAGGACAATGGAGTCGGGGTGGGGAGAGAGGCAGGGAGCTGAAGTGCGCAGTGTGGGGCGGGGGGCTGGAGGGCGCCACAGGGGAGGGAGCAGACCTGTGTGGGTGCGGGCGTGCCGCTGGAGCTCGTCACTCCGTGTGAACCTCTTCCCACAGAAGAACCAGTTGCAGACAAAGGGCCGCTCGCCAGTGTGCAAGCGCACGTGAGCCCGCAGCAGGGATGTCTTACGGAAAGTCTTGCCGCAGTCAGGGATGTGGCACACGTGCTTCTTCTTGCCCTGCTCTCCAGACCTGCGAATTGGGTCGAGGGTGGGGTGGAGGGAATGGGAAGCAGAGAGAGCGGGGAGGTAGAGAGATGGGGGTGGGACAGGAGGGAGAGAGGACGTGGGGTCAGGTCGGAGAGCACGGAGCCACCACCTGGTCCCCTCTGTCTGTGTCCCAGGGAGGGCTGGCCGCCTGGCCCGTCTCCGCAAATCACCTCTTGTCCCCGTCCTTGCAGTTGGGACACGTGCAGGCCATGCGGCGCCGCTTCTCCCCGGGCTGGGCCTCTCCAGCCAGGGCCTGTTCCATCTGCAGCTGGATCTGGGTGGGGCTCAGCCCACTGATGGTCAGGTTATTCCCAGAAACATTCTGCACTGTCAGCTGCTGCTGCCCTGTGGGGAGGAGTGGAGCAGAGTTCAGGGTGAGGAAGCCCAAAGGGGCAGAAGAGGGAGCCTGACCCCTTTCTTCCTTCCTGCACACAGTAAGGTTGACAGTCATAGCAGCTCATATTTTTGAGAGCCTGCTATGTGCCAGATACCATTTTAGAGATCTTAAATGTATTAATACACTTAAGTTTCATAACCCCATGAAATAGGTACCATCATCCCCCTTTTAAAGGTGAAGAAACTGAGGCTCAAGATCACACATGTAGAACTTGTAGAATCTGGATGGGGACCCAGTCAACTTCAGAGTCAATGCCCGGAACCACTATACTACGTAGGCCAAATTCACTTCCACACGTTGCCCACATGGGTCTTGGAGTGTTTTTCCAGAATCTCCTCCAACCTTAGGCCCTTGTGAGACACCGACTCTGCTCCCAGGAAAGTCTCCAGGGATTTTTGTTAACAGAGGGAGAGATAGTTCTATGGGCTTTGGAACAAATCAAGCCCTCTAGGACTTGCATAAGGCCATCAAAGCAGGGGGAGTGCCTGTGGGCGGACTTCCCCCAGGCCACTAAACCAAATGCATAAAGTGCTGGAAATTCATTCAAGGAGGAAGAGAGGAGATTCAGAGAGCTCCCACTACCTTGAAAATTGCCCTTCACCCAGCTAAGGAATGCAAGGAACTGTTTGTGCTATAGGTACCTACAATGTTCCTCTGATTATGTGCAAGGCTGCTTTCATACCGTAAATATCACCAAATGTTACCACTGAACTGAGAAGCGCAGCACAAGCCAGTCCAAAGGCTCCCTCCTTTCCTTCCAACCTTAATTCAAGGCTGCCCATGCCTGGGGCCGGGGGCCTTCTCTCACCGCCAGTATTGGTGATGGTGACGGGCACACCCTGGACCTGGACACCGTTGATGTTGATGGTCTGCATGGCCTGGGCTGCCGCTGCCAGCTGGGCTGCGTTCAGGCTGATGATGCTCCCGGCAGGGGCAATCTTTGGCAGGGGACGCTCTTTCCGGAGAATTGCAGCTGAGTGCTTTTTGCTGGTCCCGCTCAGATGAGCAGCACGGGATGGAGGGCTGCTACAAGTGGTGGTGGAGGTGGTCGCAGCTGTTGCTGGGGGGCCATCCTGGACAAGGACCGTCTGTACCTCACCAGAAGGTGTACGGATGTAGACCTGGGAGGGGCCAGAGAGAAAAAGTCAATGCCCCCTGAGAGCCCTGGCTCCTGCCCCCCCCCCTTTTTTTGCATTAAAGAATGTTTATATCATCCATTCCCTGGTATAACACTCTTGTCGTGTCCCCTGAATTGGCAGGTGGACTCCCAACCACTGCGCCACCAGGGAAGCCCTCCTGCCCCCTTTCAATGCAGCATCATCTCCCTGCCCAAGGGAGAAGCGGGTGCCTTTTTGTCCACCCAAGTCTTCTCCAACTAACCCAGGCCTACATTCACCCACTGTTGATGTTCAACAAAAAGGGCTGATGGCATCCCTGTACTAAGCTGACAAATGCCGACTGTTGATTTGAAACAAAACATTTAATTTACTTAGCATGGAAAAACATAATGCCAAATCTCCGAATTGAAGAATTAGATGGCAGCTAAATGATGACCTCACAAAAGATGCGCTGTGAATGCTCATCAAAGAAATGAAAACAGCCTTTAGGAGGCACAATTAGTGGAGAGACTGCTGTCTTTCTCCAATTTATACTAACAAAAATGGAACAATAAAACATAATGCTCACTGTTGCTGAGACAGTAGGGAAATAGGCACATGTTCTTACGTCAGGGGGTGTGAAGTGGTCTAGGCTTGCTAGAGGGAAATCTGGGAATATGTGTCCAAAGCCTTTAAAAATATGCATATTAGAGCCTGAGAACGAGAATGAACCGTGTGGTACTGGATGGGGATTAGAGGTATTGATGGAAACTCTTAGGTTTCAATATAAATAGAGAAATATAGATATAAATGTATATATATATGTGTGTGTGCATTTCTGTATCTATCTTGGTATTATAGATATATGTATAGGTATATTTATATATACTTCTTAACTGTGTCCCCTGAGAAGGGCTGAAAGCAGCAAAACTCCAGGAGCAATGAGCTCACCTAGCACCCAGCTCTTAGCTTCTAAATCCCATGTTCCACTAAAAGAAACCAGGGCTCCTTGGAGAAATAGCTGATTCGAGGACCGTGGTCAGCAGAAGTACAAGAAGACCTTGGAACACCTCTTATACCAGAAAGTAAGGAAATGCTCAAAGAATGGTGGTGACATGTGAAAAGAACACAAGAGCCAGCTTGGAGGGGCTCCCACTGGCTAAACATAGGATAATTTGAACATCAAAATAACAATACTAATGGATTATAACTCAGTGAATAAAACAGGAACCTATGAATCCATACTGACATAAATAAACAAATGGAGAAGAAAATGATAGAATTTAAAAAACTGTTATCACATCCTCCAATAAAAGGAACTAGGATTCCTAGGACAAATGGTTGATCCCAGGACTGGGGCTGGGAAAATACAAGGAATGAAATACTGACACTTGCTACAGCATGGATGAACTCAGAAAACGGTGTACTAAGTGAAAGAAGCTAGCTGCAAAAGATCACCTACGGTAAGATTCCATTTACATGAAATGTCCAGAATAGGCAAATCTATAGAGATAGAAAATGGATTAGGGCTCCCCTGGTGGTGCACTGGTTAAGAACCCGCCTGCCAGTGCAGGGGACACGGGTTCGAGCCCTGGTCCAGGAAGATCCCACATGCCGTGGAGCAACTAAGCCCACGTGCCACCATTGCTGAGCCTGCACTTTAGAGCACCACAGCTACGGAGCCCATGTGCCTAGAGCCCATGCTCCGCAACAAGAGAAGCCATCGCAATGAGAAGCCTGCGCACCGCAACAAAGAGTAGCCCCCGCTCGCTGCAACTAGAGAAAGCCCACGTGCAGCAATGAAGACCCAACACAGCCAAAAATAAAAATAAATAAACAAATTTATTTAAAAAAAGAAAAGAAAAGAAAATGGATTAGTGGTTGCCAGGGCTTGGGGCAAGGGGGAAATGAGGAGTGACCACTAACGGGGTCTTTCTGAGGTGAAGAATATGTTCTAAAGCTAGACAGTGGTGATGGCTGCATACCTCCATGAGTATACTAAAACCCACCCACTGCGTTGTACACTTTAAAAGGGTAAATTTCACGGTATGCGAATACCTCAATAAAGCTGAAAAGGGACTTCCCTGGTGACACAGTGGTTAAGAATGCGCCTGCCAATGCAGGGGACACGGGTTAGACCCCTGGTCTGGGAAGATCCCACAACCTGTGGAGCAACAACTACTGAGCCCGTGTGCCACAACTACTGAAGCCCGCACACCTACAGCCCATGCTCCAAAACAAGAGAAGCCACCGTAATGAACGAAGAGTAGCCCCTGCTCTCATCAACTAGAGAAAGCCCGTGCGCAGCAATGAAGACCCAATGCAGCCAAAAATAAATAAATGAAATTTAAATAAATTTATTTGTTTAAAAAGCTGATAAGAAAAAAAAAGACTGGGGGTATGTCACACAGATGCAAGAGCCAACCAGAAAGAGCTCCAAATGGCCAGAGTTGAACAAATGTGAGCAACAAAATAAATAACGCAGTATTGGATTGCACCCCAAAGTATAAAATAAATATACATGAGTCTCTACTGACATAAATACATGATCGAATAAAAAAAATAAATGGTGGGACCTCCCTGGTGGCGCAGTGGTTAAGAGTCCACCTGCCAAGGCAGGGGACACGGGGTCGAGCCCTGGTCTGGGAAGATCCCACGTGCCATGGAGCAACTAAGCCCATGCACCACAACTCCTGAGCCTGCGCTCTAGAGCCCATGAGCCACAACTACTGAGCCCACATGCTGCAACTACTAAAGCCCGCATGCCTAGAGCCCGTGCTCTGCAACAAGAGTAGCCACCGCAATGAGAAGCCCGCATACCGCAATGAAGAGTAGCCCCCGCTCGCCGCAACCAGAGAAAGCCTGTGCACAGCAACGAAGACCCAACACAACCATAAATAAATAAATAAATAAATTTATATAAATAAATGAATAAATGGAAAAGAGACAAATCTTCCTTATAGAAGAACTCCAAATAATATTATATAGATACCTTCCCTTCCAGGATGTAGAGCTTAATTCTCACCCCCACTCCCACCCCTGACGATGGGAGACTTAGCAACTTACTTCCAAAGAATTGAGAAAGGGAAAAGTAGCAGCTTTGATGAATGAAGAAACCTGGCAGACACCACCTTAACCAAGTGATAATGGTTAACATCAGGGATGTTACATCAGAGATGTTGTGTGGACATGATGTACCCCTCATATAATGTGATGAAAAGAGGCGTTTCGCCTCCGTGGTATTCTTTCCAAAAACCCATAATCCAGCCTGGGGGATATTCTATAGGATACCTGACCAATGTGCTCTAGTCTGTCAAGATCACGGAAAACAAAGACTAAGAAGCTATCCAACCAGAGGAAGCTATCCAACCATTGCACAAGTGCAATGTGGTATTTGGACGGGATCCTGGAGCAGAAAGAGGACATAACTGATTAATTGATTGGATGGTGACATCCAGTCAAGTCTGGAGTTTAGTGAACAGTAACATGCTAATGTCAGTTTCTTAGTTTTGACACGTGTACCCTGGTATGTAAGATGTTTAACAAGGTGCTGGTGGGGGACCAGGTGAGAGGTATAAGACACTCTGTACTACCTTTGCAACCTTTCTGTAAATGTAACTTTTTTGGCCGCACAGCAAGGCATGTTGGATCTTAGTTCGCTAACCAGGGATCGAAACCAGGCCCCCCTGTGGTGGAAGCGCAGCGTCTTAACCACTGGACCGCCAGGGAAGTCCCATGATAAGATATTTTTTAAAATTAACTTTTTATTTTAGAATAAGTTACAGGAATTCCCTGGCAGTCCAGTGGTTAAGACTCTGTGCTTCCACTGCAAGGGGCCGGGGTTCGATCCCTGGTTGGGGAACTAAGATCCAACATACCTTGCAGTCTGGGCAAAAAAAAAAAAATCTCTATCACAGTAAAAGCTACTAAAATAAGCAGGCGAAAGTCTGATAAGGAATGAGATATTTACACAGAAAGTATCTCCTTACAAAATAATAATCCATTACAAAGAGAAAAAAAGTAACTTTAAGGTGCAGAAACCTGCTAAATATCACTTTAATCATCACCAGTACTGAGACAAATCGAAACCATGCACCTCCTTTTGGGATGCAGTGAGAACACAGCATCATTTCTTTGATATTTCTGCAAAAAAAAGTGTGCAACTTGCATCTATCTATCCATGCGGGAACATCACACAAACCTAAACTGAGGGGCTTCCCTGGTGGCACAGTGGTTGAGGGTCCGCCTGCCGATGCGGGGGATGCGGGTTCGTGCCCCGGTCTGGGAGGATCCCGCGTGCCGTGGAGCGGCTGGGCCCGTGAGCCGTGGCCGTTGGGCCTGCTCGTCCGGAGCCTGTGCTCCACGATGGGGGAGGCCGCGGCAGTGAGAGGCCCACATACCGCAAAAAAAAAAAAAAACCTAAACTGAGGAACACTCTACAAAGTAACTGGCCTTTTAAAGTGTCATGGTCATGAACATCAAGTAAAGACTGAGGAACTATTCCAGGTCAAAACAGACTAAGAAGACATGACAATTAAATGGAATGTGTGATACTGGATGAGATCCTTTTGCCACAAAGGAATCATTGCAGCAACTGATGAGCAACCTGAATGGGGTCTCTGAATTTGACGTCAGTGTGTCTCCTTGCTAACTGCCTATGTCTGAAGGTTGTGCTGTTGTCCTCCTTGCGTATAAGAATTACACACTTTCTGTAAAACATTTGGAAGTAACAGAGGCATGATGGCAACTTACACTCAAATGATACAGGGGGAAAAGTACTTGTTTAAAAAAAAATTCTACTGTGATTTTGATTGGGGTTATTTTTGATCCTTGGATTATTTAGGACTGTGGTTCTCAGTTAAAAGCAAACAAACAAACCTCGTGTTATCTCTTAATAAATACACATCTCATCCTCAATTTTCTGGTATGTGCCCCTTTTGCAAATCATTGCTATTTTCTGCATATCTGAAGTTTCTGTTACTAGAACATTTTCTTTCCCACAATGTAGAGCAGAGGTCAACACACTTTATCTGTAAAGGGCAGAGAGTAAATATTTTAGGCCCTGCAGGTCATGAGGTCTCTGCTTTGTGGTGCAAAAGCCGCACAAATGGGCATGCCTGTGTTCCAATTACGCTTTATTTACAAAAACAGATAGATGGGCCAGATTTGACCTCAGGGCTGAGGACTGCCAATTTCTCTGATACAGGGTATAATACATTTTTTAAACCGTGCATATCCTTTGACCCACTTTTAGGAATTTATTTAGTGATAAGATTAGAAACAGCCTAAATCTACAGTTGGGTAACAGAAAGCACCTCCAGATACCGGAAAACTATGTCATCATTACAAAGTAATGCAGTAGCTAAATCTTTCTGCATACGTATGCTTATTTCCTTAGGAAGACCTAGTTTTAAGCCCTGCCTCCATCAGTGTCCAGACACAGGACCTCAGGGAATGGAGGGGAGGCACTGCGAGAGGAGCGAGCGGGTATCCCTCAGTTCTTCACCTTTAAGGTAGGTCTGATAAGGGAGCCTCACACGTGTTGTAACAAATTACACGATTCATAGAAAACCCCTTGGCAGTATGCAATATGCCAGAAAGGAGGAGGCACTTGAGGGCAGGCCTCAGATTTCCTGTGCATCCGTTATGTCCACAGCTCAAACCCAAGGGCACTTCTCCACCTGGGAGACTACACAACTCCCTACTTCCGTCACTCACTCTGATGCCTCGGTTCTCTCTACAGACAGCTGGATTGTAAATTCCTCCATGGCAGGAGCTGGTTTTTATATTTTAAAAAATCCTTGTACAATTTTAAGTGTAGCCCCTGCCATACACAAGAGCCAGGGTGGGCCAGGGTGGAGGAAGGACAAAAGTGTAGGTCAGAAACCTGAGTTGAATCCTGGCTCTTTTGTCATTTGGGATCCATGAGAGCTGGATACTGGTAACTTCTCTGAATTCCAGGTTCTCCATCTTCAACATGGGCCTAATCTCTGGCATTTACTAGGCTTACACAAAGCATAAAACCTGCCCTGCAAAGCCAAATAAATTGTAGTATTACAGCACCTTAATGAATGCCAAAAATAAGTTCCTGTTGAAGTTAGCATCCCAGAAGAATCTATCCTAAATGTCCCTGCTATGAAGCTAGGGTGCTTCTTCCTAATTTTTTTTTTTTTTGTCATTAACAATGATCAGCATTTTTCTCATTGGTTTTCTTAACTTTACATCAAATTCTATGGTTCTGACTAGAATTTTTTCATTCTTGCTATCATTTGGAGTATGTAATTCTAGAATAAAAAAATAAACTTTATTATTAAAAAGTATGTATCTGCCTGCTACTCATCCCCCTGCCAGAAGACTGCCATAAAGTTTCCAAAATATAGGTACATAGGCATGTCGCATCTGATTTCTAAAGATAAGCAGTACGTGGCCCTATGAACTGGCAGAAATGGTCACTTATTACCCACCCCAAACAGTACTGACTCCCAACACTCAGGTCAGATCGGGAGACGCATCAGTATCATCTAGGAAAGCAAGCCAGTGGGGATGGAGCATCAACCGTTTAGAGCTGAGGAGGAGGAGAGGGAGGCGCGTGCAGAGGGTGTGCGTGGTACCTGAGTAGGCGACGGCTCAGCTGCCTGGATCTGAAAGTTCTGGGAGGGCTTCTGGGGGACGGTGGGGAGTGTGGCGGATGCCGCCTGCACCACCCGCAGGGCCTGCTGGGGGATCTGCACTACCTGCTGCTGCTCGGCCTTGGGGGGCACCACCTGGACCTGCTGGACCACAGCGGGCTGGCCCCCACCAGGGCTCTGAACGATGAGCAGGTTGTTTCCTGCCTGGATGATGTTGTCCGCCGTGGTCTCGATGAGCACCGTCTCCACCTGTTCGGTCACGGCCACGGGGGGCTGGGAGGCAGGAAGACTCTTCTTCCTGGCTTTCTTGTTAGTCTTAGACAGCGGGGCCGGGGGGCTCTCCGTGAGGAGCTGAGCGGGGGCCCCGGTGTCGCTGGTGTTCACGAGGTTGTTGACAGGCAGAGTAAGTGTCACATTGCCCCCTCCACCTGTCAGCTTCACCACGTTGGCCGCGCTCTGCACCGGAGTGGTGGTAGTACTCGACTTCTGGACAGGGGCCGGCTTGATGGGGACAGGCTTGTGAGTGGATGGTGAGGGGGTGATGATGGCTTGGTTGGTGCCAGGGATGATCTGGATCTGGTTGGTGAGATTGGGCTGTACCTGGATGGTCTGAGAATTGCTTGCCTGAATCTGAGGGACCGCCTGGTACTGGATACTGGCATTCGATCGGGTGCCTTTGTTGATCATGGTTGGGTTCTGGATAGCGAACACCAGCTGCCCACCAGGATAGGACGCGCTCAGCTGTGACCCCTGAATCTGAAGTATGTTTCCTTTGGAGGACAATATTCCAAAGCTATTCTTGCCGGGACTGAGAGGGAGAGGGGCAGGTTTGATAGGGACGAGTTTCCGAGGTGCGGGTTGCGGGGGAGCAGGAGGCGTCACTGCAGCTTCAACAGCCGGAGGGCCAATTTTGCTACATGTTGCAGCAAGCAGGGCTAAGGGAGATGGCTGCGAGTCCTGCAAAACACCACATGGAGAAAAGGAGTGAGACAGGAGGCCTGCTGCCCAGCCGCCCCACCCTTTAGGATCGTCTCCTCTTCGCAGGCTCCTCCCCACCGGCGGGCAGGGAGCCAGCATCCTCTCCGGGCAGTGGCCCCTGTCTCCCCTTCCCCGCTGGTTTCTCCACTGAGAAATTAAGGGAGAAAGGGTGAGAAATGTCTTTCTCAGGAAGGAACTCCCCAGAAGCACCCCTTGACAGGGTGAACTAACAGCATGGGCTGACCGCTTACTCCCCACTAGCCTATCAGTGTCTAATGGGGACACAGAATCACCCTCAGCTTATAGATGGAGCTCCGTTAGCCCACCTTACTGAGTCATCAAGTGAGGAAGGACTGAGGAAGGGAGGGAGGGAAAAAGAAAGGGAGGGGGACAGGAGGAATAAACCCTTTGGAAGAGTGTTTTCCAGTGCTTGGGACATGACTTTTTCGATCAAGGAGGGCTGTTCTTTTGAAGCTACAAGGAAAGAGCCTCCAGGGTGCGGGGACACAGTCTCTGTTTTCCTTTTATGGCCAGTGGGGTCTGGAGGAAAGGACTTGAGTTTCATCCTGCTTTTCCTCCTGACTCAACTGTGGCACCTTAGATGAGTGGCCCTAGTTTCTTAGTTCAGAAAAAGTGGAAAACTGAACCCTCCCTGGTCTCATTGCCTCGGGGAGTTATAGTTAGCTAGGGCAGAGCTCAGATGCGGTCTCATGTCAGCTTCAGTGAGTCCTCACAGGCTGATGCAGCCCCCAACCCTCAGAGCCCACTGCTCACTCGCCTGGGTGGTGGAGGCGGCAGGCTGCAGGTAGTCACTGGGACTGACAGCGGCAGTGGCAGCCATGCTGGTCTGTGGATCTGTTGGAAGAAAAGAGATGGAGTAATACCCGTGATGCCCGAAAAGAATCCAAGTCCCCTTGCCTCAGATTTTCTTTTTGCCTCTATTTGGGCTGCTTCCCCGTGAGAGGTTAATGACCTTTCCCCACACTTCCCCACTCAAGGTTAGCAGCCCTACAACCCTTTCAGTAGATGGCCTTCTCCCTTTCTCAGACTCGGCCACCTGAGGCCGTGAGGATAGCGGGTCCTGCCTCTATCAGACCGTCTCCTCCAACCGTCATAAAGTCTAGGATAACGTGAAGATACCGAGATTATAATAATGCTGGCTTCAGTAACTACGCTGTGCCACCTAAGGGAGCCCTCTCTGCCGGGTACTGCTGACTCTCCCCAGCTAGACTGGAACCCATATACGGTGGGCAGGGGAAGCCCCCAGCTAATCCTGTGGCTCTGACCCAGGCTTCCTGCTCACTCCTGCCGTAGCCAGATGCCAAGCCAGCCTGGGAAAGAAGCATCTCGGGGCCAGGATCCCTGTCGGGGAGGACACACCCACTCCATGCAAAAGTCTTGAGCGCTTTGTGCTCAGCTTTCACCACATAAGCACAATGGCCCAGGTACAGATTATAGATAGCACACAGGGAATTACTTTAAATGAATTTACAGTTTTACATAGGACAACAGGCATGGCCCCATAGGTATCACCGAGATTAGGAGAGCTAATAACTGAATATAATGAGAATGAAAATATAATAAATCCTATTTTTCCTTAAATGTGTATATATTTCTACATATGAATATAGCAGGAAAAAGTCTCAAAAAAAGGGGCTAAAATGTTAAAAGCCATTATCTCCTGGTGGTAGGCTTTTTCTTCACTTAAAGAATTTTTCCCTGTTTTTCTGTATTTTCTCATTTTCCCCACAACGAATACACTCTACTATACTTGTTTTAAATAAAGGAAAATAAAGAACGTTGAGGAAGTAACGAAAGGAATCTCTACTCTGAACTTAAGTCGGATCTAAGAGAAATACAAGTAAAATGGAAATCAGGAGAATTTTGGGGGAAATGATCTAAGCCATCTTATAATTTATAAATCACTAAGGAAAAGAACACCAGGCAGAGTCAGACTTGTATCTTAGACCTTTGCAAAGTAGGTTTCAGGAGGTACTGAAACAAGAAGGGTATTACTCAGAGACTGGAAGAGGCAGAATGACTCAGGCATGGAGCCCCTGCTGGGCATCTGGCAGGAAGAAGACAGAGGTCAGGAAGAAGGCGGAAGCACTCACGTTTCAGCTGCCTCTGGCTTCTCTCTTTGGGGGAGTGATTCTTAAATGGGAAAGGTAAAGAAAAGGTATATACACTAACAAACGTAAGGTAGATAGCTAGTGGGAAGCAGCCGCATGGCACAGGGATATCGGCTCAGTGCTTTGTGACCGCCTGGAGGGGTGGGATAGGGAGGGTGGAAGGGAGGGAGACGCAAGAGGGAAGAGATATGGGAACATATGTGTATGTATAACTGATTCACTTTGTTATAAAGCAGAAACTAACACACCGTTGTAAAGCAATTATACTCCAATAAAGATGTTAAAAAAAAAAAAGAAAAAAGAAAAGGTAAAGCGGAAACTGCAGCCCAGGACAGGTAAGTACAGTAGGCTCATCAAAGCCTTAAATGGTTTCCAGGCCCTAAGGCCACATGAACTGCACTCCAGAGTAGGGAGACACTTTGCAGGCACACTTGCAAACTGTTTGAGGAGCCAGAGGGGAGCTCTGGGCAAAATCATATATGTGGATCCTGAAATATTACAGACACTGATCCTTAGCAAAATCCTAGAACAAATGACTGAACAGCCAACTACAATTACTGAGGTAAGGAAGCAGTGATCACAAAGAATAAGCGTGGGGTTGCCAAAAACAATTCATGCTGAACAAACCTGTTTCTTTTTGGGGGGTTTTGGTTGGCTACATCAAGAGAATGGTATACACTGTGTACTTTATAACAACAAGGCATCTGACTGAAATGTTCATAGTATTCTTAGGAACGAGAAGGAAAAGAACTGCAGGCAGGATGATAGTCTGGTTTGGGGGCTAAGCTGAACGTGCCTCCACCTAAGTGCTGAGACCCAGGCCATCCTGAGCAGTTTGCTGCTACGGTGTCAACCAGGGTCTCAAACTACGGGTGCATGCCAGGACCAGGATATGCAGGCTTCTCCTCGGAGGTTCGTGCTTTCTCTACCAGAATGTTTTAGTCTTGTTTTCACCGTGATGATCATCTTTTAAAAATGAACATATACTACAGATCGCTGGGTGACTGCTGCTTAACCAAGATTTGCACATTTCTGGGCCTGTGTGTTTACAACTGTACTGGTACCAAGTGGCACCACTCTAACTACATGGGCTAATTAAGACAACTCAATTCTGCACATGTAATTCATGATACATCTGTGCAAAGTGAGGAGTGACGGCTCTTCATAAGCCTGGAAAGACCATGCTGCTGGGCACTAGACACTGCAGGGTGGGCATGCGGAACTCAAGGAGCCTGGATGTCAAGTCTGCGCTTACACTGACAGCAGCAATTTGGGTTCAGTCAACTGTTTTCCTCCCAAAATGATGTTGTTGATTTGAGTTTTATTGGCTTTTCTGTAGTTATTTAATTAAATTTTACAGGAACTAGATCTATGAGTTGATAAACAGATTTATGGGCATACATAATTAAGCCTGCAGCCTTATAATGAAAACAATCTAAGGTGACTGAAAAACATTTTCCCTTTAGAGCAGTGTTCAAACTATTCAGACCATGAACCACAGTCATAAAAACAATTTACATCAAGACCCAGTGTACGCATATGCACCCCCACACACACTTCCCTGTCCTGTGCTGATGTAATAAGAATTTCCTGAAACAAAATTTGCCCTTGCTACATGTCATGGGCTTTGGTATTTTTCTACTCTATTTCATTTTTTTAAATGCCAGTTGTGACTCACTAAATTGGTTTTGTGCCCTACAGGCTGGAAAACACGGCTTCAAAGCAGTCTCTCCACCACCCAAGTTTGGGAAACCATGCAAAAGACCTAGAAGGCAAATTAACTTTATGGATGTCACAAAACTGAGAACTGTAAACACAATGGGTGTCTGTATTAGGGGTCAAAGAGATCTTAAAAAACTGGTATGTGCAGTGCTTAACAGCATGAGGCTCCAGACCGAAATAAGAATTCAGACTGTGGGATCGCTGGGGCATTCCTCTCCCAGCCTCAGTGCACTGTCTGTAAAACAGAGGTAATGTCACCCTTACAGGATTCTAGGAGGCGTCAGTAATATGAAAAACACTGAGCACACAGGGGGTTATCAATAAATGGTGGTTTAAACTTTGAGGCTGAGTAAACACTGCACTTGGGTTTAGCAAAAAAAAAAAATATCACATGCATATAGGAGAGGAAGACAGAGCTTAATAGCAGTTCTCATGAGAAAAAGCCCCAGTGGTTTTGACTCAAAGTTAAATGGGAAGCAGTTATAATCTAGATGTGGTGGCCGAAAAAGCTCCTGCAATCTTGGACTGAATTTCCAAAAGTTCAATCATAGAAGAAAATAATAGTCCTCATCTGCTCTGCACTCGGGCCCCATCTGGAGTGTCAGGTTCCATCCTGAGAGACATTTTGAAAGGGGGATTTTCAAATGGAGCTCTTTCAGAGGAGGGCAGCCATGGTGGTGACCAGGACACCAGAGGAGCGATACCCACCAGGGTGTTTATTCCATATGTGTGTTCAATGGGTAGACTTTGGGGTGGAAATTTCGGTTTATTAGAGGGGACAACTTTCAAAAGATGGAATCAGTTGCCTCCTGAGGTAATGTTCTCCTTCTCTGAAATCATTTAGCCAGAGGCAGGATGTGTGTCTCTGTCAGAGATGGGATGTCTAAATGGGGTGGGAAGTTGGACTAAATGATCTTGTTTGAGAATTTAAACTTGTTTATAATCCTCCAACCGTGTTGCCGATAAAAACACAAGATGAGTTAGCTGCCGGCAGAGCTGGGAAGGGAAGGCAGGGGCTCTCCCAGGAGGCTCCCCTGGGCTTAGGTTCACTTAGCTAAAAATGGTGAATGACTCTCCCTCAGACATCCCCTGTTATGAAACTGAAGGACACTAGAACAGGACAGAGTGCAAACAAAATGAAAACTGGCCCAGTGCTTATTCACCTCCCTTTCCCATCTCCCTCTCTCCCCCTGCAGGCATTATCACCCTGGACTCAAACTGTCTGGAGACTGGGCTGGGCTAAGAGGCTCTTCAGTTAATAAGTTACAGCAGGGACTTCCCTGGCGGTGCAGTGGTTAAGAATCCACCTGCCAATGCAGGGGACACGGGTTCGAGCCCTGGCCCGGGAAGATCCCACATGCCTTGGAGCAACTAAGCCCGTGCACCACAACTACTGAGCCTGTGCTCTAGAGCCTGCGAGCCACAACTACTAAGCCCACGCGCTGCAACTACTGAAGCCCGCATGCCGAGAGCCCATGCTCCACAACAAGAGAAGCCACAACAATGAGAAGTCCGCAACGAGGAATAGCCCCTGCTCACCGCAACTAGAGAAAGCCCACGCAAAGCAATGAAGACCCAACGCAGCCAAAAATCAATCAATAAATAAATAAAATTTAAAAAAATAAATAAACTTTGTAAAAAAAAAAAAAAAGTGACAGCAGAGTCTTGACGCCCTTGCAGACTGTGGGCGCTCCACCCACACCATCTTGGTTGGTTTCATTTGCCTTCTCCGCTGGCCCCTGAAATACTCCTCCAGATCTCAAACCAGTGGTTTTAAGTATCTCTCCTAGAGTCACTCTGAGTTTTGTGGCCCCTGGGCTGTGGACCTGGGCAACCAAAACAGCGACTAATCTCCCTGCCACTGCAGAATTATATCCTGGGATTACCTGTGAAAGGGAAAAGCAGCATTTCCAGTTGGTGTTTGGAAATGAACAGTGGTTAAGTAGCATAGATGCCTAACTGCAGGACTATATTCAAAGGTACTTTAGAACCTCGTTAATT